TTGACACAATTTCGACCGGTGGAAATTGGTGCTTGTGGTGCTCCGTTGCTGGCCTGCAAGTTATTCCCGCAAGTTTCTTAGAAGAAACCGGCTTATTGCTTCGCCGAAAACTTCTTGTTGGAATATGGAGGCAACCACCAAGAAAGGAGGAATGAGGAAAGCGGTGGATTAGGGATTGAGATGGAGAGAGAAATGAAACCAAGAAGGAAAAAGAAAAAAATGGGTTAAACCTGAATAAATGGGTAATACCCATCTTAATTTTAACTTTTAATTATGGACACTTATTGAAATTCTATTGGGCCACATCATTGGGGAGGATGAACGCGCATGACTCAAGCTTTGTTCTTATTTTAATTCGACTTGCTTACATCAACATGATATTTTATATTGTTGTATTAAAATTAAGGTAACTTTGATAAATTTATAGTTAAAGTTAACTCTTCTAACTATTATGATAAACAAAAATAATATTAATATGTTAGGCCCCGTTTGGTAACCGTTTTTATTTATTGTTTATCATTTAAGTTTAAGCATAAAAAGTGTTTATGTGTAACTTTTGTTTATCGATAAATAAATACATTGTTTGATAATATAAAAATGTTTGTCTTATTTTAAAAATAATAAACAGAAAAACATGTTTGTTAACCTTAAACTGTTTTTTAAAAATTCAACACTAGTTTCAAACAAATAATATATTATTTCTCGCTTTCAGGTAACAAATTGCTACTCTAATCAATTTTTTTTTTTTTTTCGGAAGGTACTCATTGCTTAAATAATATTTCAAGATACCCATTATGAATACCCACCAAAAGAATGTAAAAATAAAGCTTTGAATTTCTTATTATTCTTTGGCTTGATATACAAAGATAAGTTCACTATCTTATTACTCATTGCTTAAGTATAATTCAAGATATGCATTATGAAGACCCCACCAAAAGAATGTAAGAATGAAGCTTTGAATTTCTTCTTATTCTTTGGCTTGATTTACAAAGATAAGTTCAATATTTGACCGCATAATATACAAAGATAAGTTCATTGTTTGACTCACTTCCTTTCCAACTAATATAGATAGTGTATATATATATATTGTTCAGTATTTTGTCTCTCATATTTTGACAGCGTTATCGAAGGACAACGAGATGTTGAGGGCAAGCAACATCTTGCTGGAGTACCATAAATGATTCTCTTTTCATTGGACTCTTAGATCCTCTAACAAGGTTACTCACAACCTTAGCAAATGGAGTGTTCGTAAAAAAAACATTGATATTCAGTTGAATGGATGGCCCTCTTGGTTATCTAAAGTTATTGAGGATGATATTTGTTTTGCATCTTAGCTCCCTGTCATTTATAAAATTGGCATGTGTGAATCATAATTATATAAGGGAATTTATATAATTGATAAACAAAAATAATATTAACAAACATGTTAAACATTAAATTGTAAACATAAATAATTACCAAACGGGCCTTAGTAATAGGAAACAATCCGACAGGGTTTCAGAGTAACTTGTCCATAAAAAAATACAAAATCTACATAGTTTTAATAATATAAAATAATATAATAGACATGTACGTATGTGTGTGTGTGTGTGTGTGTGTGTGTGTGTATATATATATTCCTTGACAAGAAACTTACACATCAATTATTTTTATTGAGACTTAACCCTCATCATCCAAGAAGTAAATGAGATATCACTGGCTACGAGGCCCTAGCATTCCCAATATTTTAAGAGGCCCTATGCGAACTTTCAAATGTGAGGTCTTTTTTAAGTTTTGACACGTGCAAAAATTTATAAGAGTGAGAAATTTTCATTAAAATGAGACATAAATACATAAAATATATTATTATTGAAAACACACAAAAACATAATTCGATTTTAATGTTTTATAAAGAGTAGATCCAGTTTATATCAAAAAAAAATTTCAAAAATATTCAACACAACTTAAAGCCCATTTGGGGTTGCTGTTGGAATAAAAAAAACTCTTTTATCAATAGAGCTGTCAAAAAATTGAGGTCAATAAAAAGTATGCTAGATGATTGGTGACACATTATAATAAGTATTTTTCACAATTAAATTATTTTTTAGTTTATTTGGTAACAATTTATTTAAAACACTTCTATTATTAATTTTACAGTAAAATCGTTTAATATGATGTTATCATAGTTGATAGTAGTAACACTATTAAGGAAGTGATATAATTGTCGTTATAAAAAATAAAAAGGACAAATTTGTCTAGTGAAAAATAGTTACCTAAAATATTTAACCTCTACTCATGAAGCAGTTTTAAAAATTTCAAATTCTAACTTCATTCAAACGCTTTACTGAACTAAATTTGGTTATAATTAAAAGCGTTTTTAATTGTTACCAAACAGATAAATGCAAATTTTCAAAATAAAAGCGCTTCTAAGGGATAGAGAAGCAATCCCAAACAGACTCTTAGTCACAAAAATCAAAATTCAACTTCATATCAAGGTAAATTTAATTATCTTACATTTTGAGCTCCAAAATTATAAATTAAAATATTCCAATCACGGTTCTCCAACATATATTTTTCAATAGCTATTATAGCCAATCCATTCAATCTATCTTATGACATCATCACTGTAAGTACGATTCGATAACTTCAACTTTGAAAAACTTCTTTTACTGGATGCAACTATAATTAGGATAGTTAATAATACTCCGTGTATGCAATCCAAGCATTTGGCAAAATAATAATTTAACTTTTTTATAAAATCAAATAATTCAATTGCCTTTTTTGTTCCTCTTGATAAAGTTTCTCTTTAGACTTGTAATTCTGAAAATAATTTAGTTGTTTGTAATGAGCTTAATAAAGTCTCTTATGTATGCACATGAGCCCAAAAAAAATGTAATAATAAAATAAACTTTAAATATAAAAAAATCTTTTTTTTTTTTGAAGGGAGGGATAGAAATAAATTATTGTCTAACATATATAAATTGATATTATAAGTGAAATTTATTTATTGTCATAAATTTACATTATATGTATTGTATTTTAGTTATGAAAATTATGGTATATCTATTTACCCTATAAAAGTCTATTCTAATTGTATTTTTTATATACACTTTTTTGCAATAATAATATATACTAGATTTTAATATTTTCTAAGCATTGTTTCAGTTTTAAGTTGTTGTCTGAAATTTTACAAGTTAATTTTATTTGTATTTTTTATATACAATTTTTGGTAATAATAATAATATATACTTGATTTAAATATTTTATAAGTGTCGTTTCAGTTTTAAGTTATTTGTTTGAAAATTGAAAGTTCACGACTGTAGAACTTTGTTGGTTAAAACTTATATAATGTCAATTTTACATTCATATTTTCCAAAAATCTGTATATATCTTATATAAATGATGTCTAAGTTGAACTCATGTTACAAACTATGTCTCCCTTTCTACTTGTCTATGTAAAAAGATCTTGTCTCATATATTTTTTTTTAATGTTCAAGCTAGCCTTATTTTTTGGAAGGTATGTTTCTTGCAATGTTTTTAATAAAGAAATCTGTTTCTCTTGTGTTACTAGAATTTTACGTTGTGAGTTTCAGATAATTTTTGATAATACACAATATATATATATTAGCATTACCCATCTTAAGAAAATAGATAACACTAAAGAGCCACAAATGAGATGAGTTTCTTTAATTTTTTATTATTTCTTACTTTTATTGCACATAAAATTCATATGGCAATTTTTTTTTTTCTTTTTAAAATTTTAAAGTGCTCACATTATAGAAGGAGACGCAATATTAGAGCATGAGAACTTTAAAGTATTGAAACAAAGAAACAATTGTGTAATGTTTATTGTTCTACTATTTTTATAATTTTTTAGTTGTTTTATGTTGTAAATCCTATGAGAATAAATTATAAATCTTTTATGAATTATTAATTATATATTTTCATTTGCATTTTTAAATTCGTTCTTTTCTGTTTCGAAAGTGAACGGTGAATCATTTTTCTCTCATTGCCAATCTTAATGATCAGTACCAATGTTGCATAAATTTTTAATATTCATACACATTTAAACTATATATTTTTTTATTTATTTATAAATCTATAGCTTTATTGGATTTATAAAATTTATATACATTTTAAAGTAGATCTTTAAATTTAAAAATTATTTATTTGTATTTTTATGTTTTAAGAGTTACCTTTTTAAAATTAGGTTATTGGTGGTCTATTACAACTACTAACTAACTATTACTTAAGAGTTGTGTCTTTTTAGATTTCTTTCTAATGGTTATCAATCAATCATTCTTTCAAAATTAATATGATTATTTAGAATTTAAAGCAGTTATTTTAATAAATAATTGGTTTGTGACTTTTCATGTTTTAAAAGTCAATGTTTAATATTCTATATATAATATTTTTAACAATCAAGTGGAGTAACATTGAGTTTGACCTTATAATCCAAATAGTTGTCCTTTTACTAGATTTAAATGTCTTTGTAATTTTATAAAGTTGATTCTAATATATATATATATATCATAATTTTTTATTTTTGAAGGCAATTTTTTTACACTTTTCTTTGATATGTATAAGCAAACAAAAACAAACTTTCTTTTATCTCTTCAAAGTGATTTTTTAAAACTAAATTTTGAAGGTTGTTATGATTTCATAAATTTAATAATAATGTGATATATAATATTTCATAATGTTTACAAAATTTTATTTACGTGTATTTGAACGTGATTTTTTCTAGTATAAATTATATATATTTTTTATTGAGTGGGGAAAGACAAGAGTCGGTATTGGTGAGACTTGTTTGCTACTAAAGCGTTTAACCCAAGCTGCTCCTCTCCAGCTTTGAAGAGAAGCCCTTTTAATGGTTGACAGTGCTTCTTTAAAGTATTTTTATCCACACACTAAAAAAAATTTCTTTTTTGGGCCAAAAGCGGGTGTTCAAAAGCCAGTCCAAACACGGCCTAACTTGGGCCTATAGCGGCTGTTCCAAAGCCAATCCAAACACGGCCTCACTCTCTCACTTGAAAGTCTCTATCGGTGACTCTCTGCCCACTTTCCAACTTTCGTCGTCGTGATGTTATTTGCCTTTCCCTTCCCTTTCGTCATCTCCAGTCCCCCAAATCAATTGAAGCTACGACATCGACGATGATAATCATGACCTTCGCTAGATGTTCCTCCAGTTTTGCAGCGAAAATCGCTCAATTATCGATATTATTGTTGCTCTTGATCTCTACTTGTACTAGTTATGTCTCTGCAAGTGGTGGAGTGATCAACGTCAATTACAAATTCGCCGGCGTGGAACGCTCCCTCAGTGCCCTAACAGCTCACGACAGCCTCCGACACCTTCGGATGCTCGCCGGCGTCGACCTTCCCCTTGGCGGAACTGGCCGCCCTGATGCCGTCGGGTCATTCCTTTCACTTTCCTCTCTCTCTCTCTCTCTCTCTATATATATATATATATATATATATATAACTAAACATGTATATAATTTCTGTAGAAGAAAGTGATATACTTGGGTCTCTATAATCACTTGTGTAGAAGAAAGTGAAAAATTGTGGATATGACAGTTCATTTTATTATTTGGGTTTCTTTTTCTAATTTTCTTTTAATGGTCTGTGGTTTTGATCTTTGACATGTTGCTCTAGTTTCTTGTCGTGAGTGTGTTGATGTGAAATGATTCTTTTGGTCTTACAAGTCGAAATTGACTGATTGAATTTTTTGAAACGGTCCTAGAACCCCTTAACCGTTTTAGTATGTTATAGTAAGTGAGCTTATGTTTGTGTATTTGTGTGTGTGTTTGTCTTGTACTTATTTTATTTTAAATTTTAATTCTATAGGCTTTACTATGCGAAGATTGGGATTGGAACACCTGCAAGGGATTACTATGTTCAAGTAGATACTGGAAGTGACATAATGTGGGTTAATTGTATCCAGTGCAAAGAATGCCCCGAAAGAGGATACCACGGTGTATGCCTCTTGTTTGCGTTTCTTTATGCTTCCCTTTGTTCTCGGTATCCACCTCATTGCAATTTATAAGAATTTAGTCACTGACACTAATTTCTGAAACATGTTTTTAATTTCTTTTATTTTAACAGTTGGAACTTACACTATACAACCCGAAGGACTCGCTTACTGGCAAATTGGTTTCATGTGATCAACAATTTTGTTTAGATATCCATGGCAGTTCAGCTTCCAGCTGCATGGCTAACCAATCCTGTCTATATACTCAGTCATATGGAGATGGAAGCTTTAGTATTGGGTACTTTGTAAAGGATGTTGTCCAATATGATCGAGTATCTGGAGATCTCCAAACTAAATCCGCAAATGGAAGTGTCATATTTGGGTTAGTCAAATTTCTGCTTTTGTTCTCTAATATCATGAATACATTTAAGTAATATTTTACTTATAAAACATGTTATACAATCAATTTATATAATATAATATAATTATTAATATATCAAATCTTGCAATGTCTTATTATATCTCTGTTATTGTAATAATTTAGCTTCTTAAGTTGCATATCGTGTTTATTGTACATTGTTTTTGTGTGTTCTACAACACTTCCTAAATTTTTGGGGAAATTAGGAATTGCACTCGACCTTTTAATTAATTAGAACCTGTTCATTACATATGTTTGCACTATTCACAAACTTCTCATGAGTATCCCATAAATTAAAATCAATTCCATGTTTATTTGCTAAATTGCTAGCTCATTGTGAGTAGTTCCTAACTATTCATCTTCCACTGCATTAGTGTTTATGGCTTCATATGTAATTCACGCCATACAATGATGGGTATATATAGCCAACTCCTTATGCATACATACATGTCCTTCTTCTCCCTTCTTCTTGTCTTCCTGATGTCTCTATGTGGTTATTGTGTTATCATGTTGGGATGTTTACATGCAGCCAATTTTCTAAATTCTTATACAAACAGATGTGAGTGAACTGATTTTTATACCAGACTTAGAGGGGGGTGATTAGGTTACTAAACTAACGAGATTAGGCCGGATATTTTTTTTTTGATAAGTAATAATAACATTAAAAAAGGCGTTCTAAAGGGGAACGTGTCCCTAATACAGAAGTGGAACCGGGACTAAGGCCCCAAAGAATCCAAAAAAGTAATTAAATCTTCTGAAGAGGAGCACATAATTGAAAAGAGAACGAAGAATGTAAAGTTTCACCATTGCCATAGACGACTCTATCCTTTCGAACGTTCTGCTATTTCTCTCCTTCCAAATGCACCATCATACACAATGTGGGACAATTCTCCAGAAATCGCGTACATCTCTTCTCACACGACATCCTCTCCAAACATGATTAATTCTTAGTAGATCGTGGCATTATCTAAGACATACCAAACAACCCAACAATAAGATTCCAATAGTCTTTCGCCACAGGGCAATGCATAAGGAGGTGACTCTGCATCATTCTTGCATAGACAACACCAATTAACAATACAGTTGGCCCTTTTCCTCAAATTATCAATTGTTAGAATCTTTCCCCAAACAACGGTCCAGATAAAGAAAGCAACCCTGGTTGGAGCCATGGACCGCCAAATAGTTTTCCATGGGAAGTCATGATTGTCAAAATTAGACAAGCATAAGAACAAGAATCTTACTTCGAAACGACTGTGGGAAGAAGGAACCCAAATCAAATTGTCATTCTCTCTGCCAACTCTCTTGTCGATACAGAAGATCTAGAAAAACACATACCTCATCCATCTCCCAATCCTGAAAAGAGCGTCAAAAATGCACATCCCATGTAATCCCACTGTTATCAAGCTGATAACAGTCAACTACGTAGGCATGTTTATCAACTGCAATACTGAATAATCCAGGAAATGTACGAGACGGTGGCTGATCACCACACCAAAGATCTTCCCAAAACCGAACGCGACGTCCATCACGGACTTTGAATCTGATATGAGCAGAAAAGGCATCCCAACCCTTCCGAATAGACTTCCACATCCCTACTCCTCCCACAAGGGTAACCAGATGTGTTGACCAGCCTCCATTCTCTTCCCCAAGCTGACAACTCAATTTTCAACTATCACAACTCAATTCAACAAAGCCTTAAACCAACAAATTTCAACTGTCAGAATTAACAGAAATTTTACTATTAATTAATAAATATGTAAACATAAATAGAATGTAGGAATATAAAGCGTAAAATCATTCACAAACATGAACATCGATTTTTTACCTGGAAAACCCATATTGGAAAGACCACGGGATCTAGTTTAGGTAGGTCAAATCTACTAATTCAAGAATCTTTAAGTTACCTATAGCTCAGACTCATGTTGGATGCTCCATCCAAGCTCTGGTTGTGTCAATCAATGTCCACATGCAATCCGCTCTTCAATTTGTGCTTTGATATGTAATGAGTAGGCAATAATCAATTCTTTGTTTGATATGTTGATGTTGTGGTTGATCAATTTTTAAGTATTGAATAAGGCTCCTTCCTTTAGAACTCAATCACACAATATAATAAGGTATTTTATGAAGAACATCACTTGTGACTGAAAAATAAAGCTCTCAATCTCTCTTACAAATATGACTTGTTGCTCTAGTGTTTTTCTTATATATATATATATAACTTTTTTATAGTGTTGGAATGATTATAAATTGATTAGAAATGCTTTGGATGAGTTTTGAAAAGTTTAGAAACCATTTTGAACTTGAAAACACAGGTTTTACCAGCTTTACTAGGTTATCAACTAGATGTTTAATTGATTTAAGTCATTGCAGCATTTTTCAATTGATAGTTTGATCAGTCAATCAAAATTTTCTACTGAGCCTGACTGCATGTAATCTGACTTTAGATACTTCGTTGAGGGGTCAAACAGGCTCAAAATTAGGCATATAATATATTGTTGGAAAGCTTATCATCTCTACATTATGGATATATAGGGCGAGTAGACTATATAGCAATAAAACTAGAGACGTGGAGCATCAAGGGCCCTTTTCTCAGTCCATTGCCGTTTGGATTTTAATTCAAAACTCAAAATCCTAGCTATCAAACCAAATTTAAGTTTCCAAATTTATTCAATTTTCAGTTTTTAAACCATATTCAAACAAATTATTGAGTAGATTTCATTAACTCCAAACTAGTCCAAGTTTCCTAATTGATGCTATACCAATTTAACCAACTTTTCAAGATCAAATTGAAACCTGTTAAAAAGATTAATTATTAAATTAATCCCTCCAAATCCTATGGTCTTTTAGGTCACCCATCTTTCTAAATTGCTAGAGTTTGGAGAAAGACGTCGATGTCATCTTTCGGCTGAGTCTTCAATCTACAATCAAAGCTTCAATGTCGATGCAAGACACTTGATGAAGTGATACAACACCATAGATGAAGACACAACTTTTACTCATGGAATATGACAACACGTCACTTTTTCCTAACAAAATGTACTAAGATAAAGAGTAGCATAAAATTGTTAACGTCTTAGCGAGATTATTGCATTGCAAAAATGTTTTTTTGTGTTGGGGGGCGGGGGGGGGGGGGGGGGGGGGGTGTGGTTTATTCCGAGTTGATAATTAAGAGAAAGGAAGAAAGATTACTCCACAAGCCATTACGAAGAGATGACCAAGTATGTGCAGTTTATTACTTGCCGCGATGAGATCTGATCTTTGTATGATTTTGGAGTTGGATTTTGGTTGTGTGATGGCGTGAGGGACAGGCAATCGAAGAGGATATGAGTCATGAAAATTTCTGCATGTGGATTTATTGGAGAAGTATTTATATTTGTTACTGTCTCGTATCTCCTTTTAAGTTTTGGTTTGTAGTGGTAGTGCACACATTCTCAATTTTTTGTAAATATTAAATTAAACATGTCCTTTATATGAAAATAACCCTGTATTAATTGTAAAGAAGTCGACTACACTGTAGCAGCTGGCATGATAGAGCAATGGATGCTTCATGGATTGGTTTGACTACTTTAAAATGCCTTTAAGGCATTAAACTTGAAGTGAGACGTGTGGTAGAGAATGATCTATATTTGTAGTTCTGTACTATAGACAATATCACTCTCTTGATATATATGGCTGAGTAGCTAATTTATTCATGTTGAAAATTCTGAAATGACAACACAAAGAGTTAAATCCTGATTATGGAATGGAAAAGCCGTGAGTGAGCTTTAATGCTCTGTTTGATACAAAGGATGGAAATTGACAAGGGAAGTGAGAGGGACAGAAGAGGTATCCCAAAGGAAAGCGGTGAGCCTTTTCCTCATATGTTGACTAGTTGAGTGGAAAGGAGTCAGAAGGAAGGGAAGTTGCGTAATTTGACCATTATATCTTTCAAGAATTCAATAAAGTTCTTTTACAACATCATAGGGGGTCTCATTGAAAATTTTAAAAACTATATTTACCCTTCAAGAATATATGTGTATGCCCTGGTTATGTCTTGTCAGCCCTCAAACAGGTCAATGTTTGCAGACTTCTAAATTTGAATGCTGTAGATTTTTGGCTCATATAATTAATTTTGGCTGTCATTGTGGCAGTTTTATACTGGTTCAACTGAAAGGCTGTTATGAACAATGAAAAGTATCATTGTAGCCTTATGATTCCACAGCACATCTTAAATTTCTTCTTTATTATTATTATTATTATTATTATTATTGTGTGTGTGTGTCTGTGTACAAGATGGATAAGTTTGTTAGCTTCCAAGAACTTTGTGGTGTTGCTTTCCACCTACATTGACTGAAAATTCCATTCCTTTTTCTCTTGTTCACACTAATGAGCGGGATTGATGTAGTGCAATAGTAGCTAAAGGAAATGCAAATTTAAAATAGAGATAGATTTAAAAATTTGATTGATATCAAGATTGAGTCCAGTTGTGACCTATTCTAAGCAGGTTTTTGTTTTGAGTCCTATTTAGGTTCTTTTTAGCTTAATATGGAGTTGATTTAGTTTATGCATGTCCTTATGTTCTGGTGAGTAAAGGGTACTTGGATAATTTTACATTTTCTATGTTGGTATGTTGTAGTGGAGCATGTGTTATCTTTTCTGTGTTGATGAGCTTAGGTGTGTCAGTTTGCCTTTACGGAAGTGGAACTGTATTGTTTTGCTGGTTGAAGGTTTTTAATTTTCGTTCCCGTTTTTTATTTCCTGGTAAGATAATTTTGTAGAACCAAAAAGACTATGTAAAGAAGATTAACGAGGGCATTACATCCTGAATACAAGACATAGAAGAACTAACAAAACAAGAGAACCAAAACAAAGAAGGATCTCTACAACAAATCTGATGTGGAAGAATCCATTCCTTTAGCAGCCATAACATGGTAGGATTCCTCAAGAATTTAGAGCAGGCCATAAGTCGTAGTCTGTCAGTATGAATATTCTCCTTCTGAATGGATATCTCATGCTTATAAGAATTCTGGTGGAATCTGCAATTCTCTCTCCAAATAACATACACAGTAGCAGATAGCATTACTTATTTAGGAGAGAGTGGAAGTTATCACTTCTGAGCTTAGCTACTGCGTAGTCCAACAAATCATCAAATGGACAATCAGGCCATTGAAGAATACCTTTGATAGATATACGTCTCCAAATTCCAGGCTGGATCATAGCCCCTTGCAAATCCTGCAAATAGAGGTTATGAATAGGTAAATTCCTCACTTCATTATTGATACTAGCAGCCACTTTAACATCCCTCTCTATCCCAGATTGGTAGATAACTCTAAATCCTTTGCTTAGGACAATAGGACTATGGCTGTGTCAGTTAAAAAACCAAAGAGAAGTATTGAGCCCATTACTGATAAGAAATTAGAAATAGGGTCTGAAACTTCTCTCATGAGAAGGATGTTCCTCCAACTCAAACAGCCCAAGGAGAAGAGGATTGGAGCTTGGGATTGACAAGATTCCAAGCATACCTGGTAAAGACATCCTGATTCCATGAAATAAGGTCTTTAATGCCCGGACCCCCTCTGATTTTGGACAGCGGATACCACTCGATACCACTTTTGCACCACCCTACTGCATAGAAGGCCCCTCCCAAAGGAATCTTTTCAAAATCAGTCGCAAATATTAATTTTTCTTGGAAGGGTTAACTAGCAATACAAATTTATCAACTGCACTCTGCTAGCATGACACAGAAAGTTGGTAGTCCAGCCATGCTCTAGCAGTCATCTTTTCCACCAATTTTCTTCAATGAGATATCTTCAGTTTGGTGGATAAGCAGACGCACACCCAAATTATTTGAAGGTGACCTTCATTGAAACCTAATTTTTCATGAATAGTTACCTTTTTGTCTTCAGAATTCCAGAGAAGAAGAATATAGAGCTCTTACTGTTATTTTGGATTAGACCTAACAGCTGACTGAATATATTAAGACCTTTGGCACTGCTTCCACAGACTCTGTGGTGCCAACTATAAGGTCGTCAACAGAGCACATATGGGTAATTTTAAGAGTTTCACACCTCCACTGATGGCAGAAAGAGCTCAAAGCAGCCTGATTTTGCATAATTCCATTTAAAACCTCCATACCCAGCATAAAGGGGTTGGGTGACTTCGCTTCACACTGTCACAATAATTTTTTTTATTATTTATTTCCTGATAAAGTAAAATTTCATTAAAAGATGCTCAAAAGGGGAGTGCTCCCCAAAATACAACTACACTAAAGAATTCATCTCTATACCCTCAATCTATCCAATAATCAACAAAATCCTCTATAGATATACAAGCACTCCCTAATCCAAAAAATATAAAAAATTCAGAATGTAGTGCTTCAGTACCCACACTGGTGCTTCCACACCATCAAAAAGACCACCCGTTTCTCTTTTCTCTCTCTTCAAACCCCACCTAATGGAAAGGGGGCCTGCCCTCCATGTATCTCGAGCCCTACTTCCCACTATACATCCCCTCCAAGACTCAACCACATCCATTGCAGAGGCCGGTTACACCCAATGCACCGCAAACACTGAAAAGAACACAGCCCATATGTCCCTAGCTATTGGGTAGTGCTAATGGAGATGGCTGGCTGACTCCTCATCTCTCTTACACATACAACACCAATTGACTTCTCAGGCTCTTTCTTAAATTATCCAGCGTCAAAATTCTCCCCAATGTACTGCTTGGTGCAATGGAAGTGGAGGACTGGTGACTATCGTTTTTTTGAATTCAATTTCGTTCCAAGGGTACTGCTTGGTGCAATGGTATAATGCTTAAGCTGCAAAGGGTGGGAATGTGTATTCAAGTTTGAGGGCAGCCAATTTCTGCAAGTAATGTGAAAGGTTAGATATGTATCTAGTCAATTCTCACTGGTTAATGCTTTTTAGTTCTATTGCATTCCAAAATTTGTGCATGCTTGTGTGCATTGTACCTAAGTGCATGCTTATGTTATGTGTGCATTCATGTGTTTGTCTTTTGTTTTTTGCCCAATGTTTTTTCTCCCTCCCTTTGAGAAGCTTTTTGACCTTGTGTTACTTGAACTAATTTTTTTCCCCCTTATTTAGTTATCTAATTATTTGAAAAGGATGCAATGCATAGGTATCTTTACTAAAACAAAGATAGTTTCACATAGTCTGGAAGATGCTGAATCTAATATCATAAGAAATTTCATTACATTTCAATTATTATTATTTTTTTATTTTTTTAGGTTTGTAATGTTCTCCTTTGCGGTTCGTTCTTCTATTTTTCTATTTGAGTACTTCAGTCATCTTGTTTGCATAATTTACTTTCTCATCATGGTTCCTTAAATTGAATCAAGCTTGCAACGTGCTCCCTTTCTGGCTATTAAGCCTATTGTTGAAAGATATAAAAGTTAAAGAGAGAAATTAAAACGTGAAGAACACAAGAATATAACATGGTTCAACCACTAGGGCTTACATCTACCACACGAAAAGCCCAAAGGGCTACATCTCTTTCATTACATTCTTTCTTGATTTTGTTTACAATAACAACCTCTATTTATCGGTGAATTGGGGAAGACTCGTAGCTAGAGAATAAAAATTTCTTGCTTTACAAGTATTTTATAATAAAGGAATTACTGAAAGTCAAATACAAATATGGCAACGACTTGTTGCCCAAGTATAGCAACCTTTACATTCTGTCAAGGAGTGATTTAAGTCACTCCTATTTCTCCAACACCCCTCCTCAAGTTGGTATGCGGAGATTTAACTCAAGTGTTCAACTTGAAACTAAATATGACGTTGTTGAGAGTCTTAGATGAGTTGATCTAGAGATCCGAGATGAGTTAATCCGAAGATTCGAGACGAGTTAATCCGGAGATCCAAGACGAGTTGATTCAAAGATCCGAGACGAGTTGGTCCGAAGATTCGAGATGAGTTGAGTATAGAGTAGGGTATGATAAACCTGCTCTAATACCATGTTGAAGGCTATAAAAGTTGAAGAGAGAAATTAAAAGATGAAGAACACAAGAATATAACATGGTTCAGCCACTAGGGCTTACATCCACGACACACAAAGCCCAAAGGGCTACATCTCTTTCATTACATTCTCTCTTGATTTTGTTTACAATAACCTCCTAAATTATTGGTCAATTGGGGAAGATTTGTCGCTAGAGAATAGAAATATCTTGCTGAACAAGTATTTTATATAAAGGAACTACACGGAAAGTTAAATACAAGTATGGCAACAACTTGTTGCCCAAGTATGGCAACCTTAACTCAAGCACACACTCTTGTCCCCAATGGGACTTGAACCCTCGACCTTTCACAAGGTAAAGGGGATTACCACAAGGCGACAACACTTGGTGGCTATTATTATGCATCTTTCTTTTTATTGCAGTTTAACATGTCAAAAACCAAAACACATAATGAATCCATATCTTTATTCAGAATGCATAACCCTGACTTTTCTGAAAATGATATTTGTTCTTATTTATTTTTTTCCCATTAATATAATTTATTTCCCTGGTAATCTGTTTTTCTTTCTTTCTTTTTTTTTATTTTTTATTTTTAATTACTTATGTAGCGTTTGTGATGTGATGTTTCTGAGTAGGTGTGGTGCTAGACAATCCGGGGATCTTAGTTCATCTGAAGAAGCACTTGACGGGATACTTGGCTTTGGAAAATCAAATTCATCTATGATTTCACAGTTGGCTTCATCTGGAAAAGTGAAAAAGATGTTTGCACATTGCTTAGATGGTGTAAATGGTGGTGGCATCTTTGCAATTGGGCATGTTGTGCAGCCCAAAGTTAACACAACTCCGTTGGTACCAGACCAGTATGTGATATCTTACATTAGAACTTGATCACTGTTGTTGCACCTATAGTTATTAATTTGTTTATTGTTCCTCTCTCGATGCTCTTTTTTGTGTGTGTGTGTGTGTGTTCATTATGCTGATTGGATTTTGCTTGCTTAATTTGGGATTATTAGATCCGTCTGGTTATCTGATAGAGTGAACAATATTAATTATGCATGTTTTAATAATTATGGAGTAAATTACCATCCAATTAGTCGTTATTTACATAATAATTCTTTTACAAGTAATTATATTTTCCTGCTATTGTTTTCTCCTTTCTTCATAGATGGTTTTCTTTTCCTTAGAAGGGAAAACTTAAATGAGATTGTGATTGTTAGATCAGAATCAGGGTCATTTCAGAATAGAATAAAAATCTTTCACTTGTCAGCGGAGTTTTCCTGAGCCTTTTTAAAGATGCACTTCAACTTTCATGCCATCAATTTTTTTGACATTTTTCTTTCTTTCCTCTTCTCCCTCTTCCTTATTTGTCCTTAAAATTTATTGGCACAAAGAGTCCATTTAGGAGGTGCATTTAAGACTTCTCCGAAAAACCATTGCAATAGTTCACTGGGTTGACTGTTTTTTTTCGCAGGGGACCATAATTTTGAATTGACAATCAGTAGGTAAGTAGTGCTTTAAAAAGAATGAAACATCTGATTGAGAAAAAGGATTGCATGATAATATGAAAGAGCAAGTTATTTGTGAAAGTAAGTTCCATTAATCTTTATGAGGATTTTTTTTGCCATTGTTTACATTTTGTAGGTGTCATTACAACTCTGTATGACTACTAGGCAGAGTTTGAACTTGTGTTCTAGTAGCTGCTACCAATGAGAGTATTCTAAAGTTAAAATGAAGCTTGAAGGTTATTTGGGTCATGTGCATTTGTTTCTGTGTAGCTAAAATAGGAAAAGTTACTCTCTATTTCTCAAGGAGTGGTCTCCTCTATTATATGTATTACTACGTAATACGAGTATATATTAATACTCTCTCCTTTTGAGGCCCTCTTTCCCTTTCTCAATTTTATTTTATTTATTTATTTTTCCAATTGAGGCTTCTTTCATTTTTTTTTTGTGCTCCACTGTTTCTTTTTTGTCTTTGTTTTTTTCTAAAGCAAGTTTCCCACTTTTTTTTGTTCTCTCATTTTGCTTTGGCTTTTACACTAATTAAGGCTAGTGAAGAGAGAGAGTTTAGAGAGAGAAAAGGTAAAGCTCGTCGTTTTGCAATTTTAATTAAATTGTTTGTTATTTTGATTTGAATTTCAGATGTGAATCGGTTGAGATATCTTAAAAAATATATCTTGTTAGACTTCATTTTTTGTGGGTTTTCCATTTTCATCAGTTCTAAGTCATTTTACTTTTCTTTTGAGACTTATTTATAGCTAAAATCATGTTTTGATTTCTTTAAATTCTATTTTTTTTTTCCCCTTTGCCAATAGATTTTTCAGATCCTGATATTTTCTGGAAATTTTATTTTGAAAGGTTATTTTCTGAAAATTTGCTTGAGCCTTGGCATATAAGGCCTTCAAATTTTTTTGTTTAATTGAGAGTCCTTTAAATTTTTGCTTAATTAAATTTGTGTTTTGTTTCGTTTTTCTGTATTGGGGACGCGTTCCCCTTTTGAACGTTTTTCTAATATATCTTTACTGTCAAAAAAAAAAAAAAATTATTTGTGTTTTGTTTGGGAAGTTTCATAAAAATCTTCTTTAAATTACTATTTATATATATATTTTTAAAACAATTTGGTAAAATTTTGGGTAGATATATTTTTGTATGAATATAATGAATAGGAATTTTTTTTTTTGGCTTACAGTAGTCTTATATTAGATGTAATGTTCACTTATAAGTTTGGCCCCCCCAACCATTCAATCCTGGCTCCGCCCCTGATTCCAGCCTTGTCTTTCTGTTGTGAGCTGATCACATGTTGTGGATTTCAAGAAGATGATTTTGATCTTAATTACAAATTTAAATTGCCACCTAGGCATCTGACTACTAATGTATTAATTTTCGTAATTTCATATGTTAAAGCATCCTCAGTCCAAAATCTAATTATTTGGTTGGACTTGTGACTTGTTCCTCATCAGTTGTCTTAAGTAGTGATATTGGATGAACCCGTATTAGCAGCCTCACATAATGTTGCCTAGCTTTCTTAGAAGACATCTTTTAACAAACCCATCTTGGCAGCCTATTATAAATTGGTGGGGAATTCTGACCTACTTTTGGTGGAGATTTTTGATCTACTGAACAATCTTCTAGTAGATCAAGAGCAAATTTCATTCCAATTATTTCTTTTTCGACTGCCTTTTGACATATGAAGATTTGTGGTTGTCTTGAAGCTTCATGTGAACTTCAACTCGTTCTCTGTACATGATCAAGTTTTCGGACTAACCATCCTAATTATAGTTGGAGCTCCTCCCTATTTTGTTGTCTTCTTTGATTTAAAGTCTTGGATCGGCTTCTGCTCTCATGTCAACTGTTGTGGTAATGGAGTATGAGGTGATAAATTTATTTTTAAACCATATCGAAGCTGAAGTTTCTTAGAGAAAACGAAGGAAGGACATTGTGTATTGAGCAAGCTAACCAACATTTTCTTAAAGACAAATTTCATTACTAGCTATGAAGCACCGATATGGAAACGGGATACGGTACAATACAATATGGATACGGGACGCGGGTACGACATGATAGAGACAAGGCGAATTGGCAATATGATAAGCCTAAAAAAAATAAAAATAAATAAGATGCAGAACACGATAGGATGCAACAATAAAATATGAATATATTATTATTATTATTATTGTTTCTGGAACACTATAGGAATACGACAATAAAATATTACTATATTTTGTTATTATATATACCGAAATATTGATTTTTGACCTTTTAATTTGCAATACTGTGGATATATCCTAAAATTTATTCACAAATAAAGAATACCCAATGCCTTTTTGACGTGTAAGATTTCATTAAAAGACACTCAAGAGGGGAGCGCTCCACCGCTCCCAAGAGAATACACAAAAAAACTGAAGACGGCCAAATATAATTTCAAGCTATCAACAAAATCCACAAGATCCCCCACTTATTTACAATTTCGCCCGTTAACCCAACAGAAAAAAGAACTCAAAATATTGTTTTTTAGAGACCAAATAAAAGTCTCTTCTCCATCAAAGGATCTCCTATTCCTCTCACACCACAAGCCCCACCATAAACAAAGGGGAGTGGCCCTCCAAGCATCTCTGGCTCAGCTATCACTATACACCCTCTCCAAGACTCAATCATGTCCACCGTAGACTCGGGACATCCAAAACATACTGAAAGCCAAAACATAGACCAAACATCTATTGCCACCGGACAATGAATAACGATGTGATTCACCAACTTCTCAGGTTTTTTGCACATGGAACATGGTGACATTAATTAACCACAATCTGACGCCTCCTTCTAAGATTGTCTAAGGTGAGGATACTCCCAAGGGCAGCTGAACAAACGAAGAAAGCCACCTTCAGGGGGGCTTTCGATGACATTCCAAGGGAAGGAGGGGCCCAAAATCTCCAAACAAACACTGGTAGAAGGAATGGACTGAAAAAACCTCTCTCGGGAGACCTGTTGAAACCATCTCATCCATCCCTTCCCCCTCCACCACTTGTCTATATGGCAGTGCTATGGGTCATTACCCAATGTTGGTCGCTGTTAATAGAGGATGCTGGGAGGAGCAGACTGGATATACACCTTACCTTTGGCATATTTGCAAAAAGTGGCTGCTCTGAAGATTCGAACCTGCATTCTCACGCTTGACACCTTGAGCATTTTATTATTGCACTCGGCAAGGCAATTACATGACATAGAGAACTCATTTCATCATTTAAGGATTCAAGAACTAAAACAGCTTACAAACTAGCATAGACGTTTTAAAATAAACCTCCATCATGTTCAACTTTAATCAATCATTACATCTCATCCATAAGTTCAGTGACAGAAGCAAAAGCACACAAAAAAAGAATAGAAAAAACAAAAAGATAAACCCCACAACCCTCTTCAATCAACTTCCAAGAATGTGAACAGTGTTGGGTGAAGCCTTGAAGCTGAAGGGTGAAGGTGGTGGTGGTGATGAGGGTGATTGTGGTGGCAGCTGGTGGTGGTAAAACAGGGTGGTGGTGACGATTTGTACTCGGTGGACGGGAAGGTGACGTCGTGGTGGTTTGTGGCTGTGAAGTGAGAGAACGAGGGAAAGATGGTAGAAGGAGAGGAGAGAAATGTGTAAGAGAGAGCCCCATCCCCAGCCCTTAAAGACCAACCAAATTATTTGGTGACTGGAGCTTCTTCCTTATTTTTTCTTCTCCTTTTCATCCCCTTCTTCTTGCCTGTTTGGTTCAAGCAAAGGACTCTACCTCTTGGTTTGGGTGTTTCAGCTGTGTACAACTGGGGGAAAAAAAGAAAAAAAGAAAAAAGAAAAAAAGAAAAAACTGATATTCCTAGACACTTCTTGGCTGTAATGGGCATGTGTCTGGCCGTGTCCCACCCATATACATGTCGGACACATGTTCGATACGGCCAGGGCATCCTACAGGGGTATCTGAGCATCATAGTTCACTAGTTAAAAACTCCAGTTTATTGTTGTCTTAACTTACATTTATTATAGAGTTTCTTCTGATTTCACCATAGCGGCTTTCTTGAACTTATAATATATTCATACTCAATTGTCAAGATTAAAAGAATCAAGTCAATTGCAATATCTTTTAAGAGAATTACTCTGATAAGTAAGAATTAGTTCAAATAGGATTCTGAGGTTCAGTTTTTTACTTTAGGGTGCCTAACACGAACAATACTTGTAAACACTAAATCTTACTATTAGAACTCTAAATCTCTCAGTGCATTAAAACTAAAGCAAAAGCAAAGAGAAAAAAATACTATTAAAAGCCTCTACAAATAACTAGTATTGTAGCTTGAATATTGGCATGTTACCGTCATGCTGTGGTACTGCTGAAGTACTCATGACCAATGTTGCTATAGAATCGTGGATAAAATTTCTGTAGGGCTCCTCGGTTTTCTGCTCCAGCATCAGGAACACCAGGGAAAAAATATTTTAGGATCTTTGTTCATAAGACATGATCAAATTTACACTTTTGCTTCAACTGTTTAGCTCCACAAATCCTACTCCTTTCTGGCTTGGGAGTTGGGACTCAAACTTGCAGTATGAATCAACGAGAAGCTAAAATAACTGAAGCTTACTTTGAATCTATCAATCATACTTCTTTGACAATTAAAGAGTAATATAGGGTGGAAGCTTAAAACCTTGTTATTAATACAATATTATTTGTTATTTGAGAGTAATTACTCTGGATGCATTTTCCTAGTTTCTAAATGTTGGTTCTACTGTCAATGCTAATCACCGGCGTACTAAATCCAGTTGTGTCAAGTTAGTCCCTCTTTGTGATAAAGCATAAAACTCAGAATCATGTAATAGTTGAGATAATAGATGTGTCACTAGAAGTTTCAACTTTTAATACTCAAAATCATCTCTCTATGAAATGCTTAAAAATGGATTGATATCTTGTTCGAGGTTTCATCAAATTTAAAAATTGTCTTTTGCACCATTGAAATACTTTTGTTCTTGAGCATGGAGACCCATTCCATACACAGAAGAAATTAAAGTGCATAACGTTCTAGTAGGATGTGAAATGGATATGCTTTGTTCTATTGATGTAATTAGTAATCTACTGAAGTTTCTTATTTTTACTATTTAAGTTGAAACACATGCATTTCATCTATCCTTGGTTTATCTTTTGTTTCCTATTATGAGGAAATTAATGCTCTTTCTACAATGCATTGCATTGACCAGGGGCACATGGAAAAATATATGATCAGTGGAATGCAGATGGGCTTCCTTTTAATGTTGTTCCATTTTCTTAAGAGAGAGTGTATTTCTGTTGCATATCAATGTTCCCAGTTTTGTTTTTCAAGCATTTTCCTTTCTGTATTTATGATTTCTTATTCGCATTATGGTTTACTGTTATCAATCATGTTAAACTTAAATATTGGTCTGTGGAATTGCAAGTATTAAACTAAATTTTGTTATAAAAAATCTTAGGCCACATTACAATGTCAATATGACGGCAGTTGAAGTTGGTCGTGATATTCTAAATCTTCAAACAGATGTATTTGAGGTTGGAGACAAGAAAGGGACAATAATTGATAGTGGTACAACCTTGGCTTATCTTCCAGAGGTGATTTATGGGCCATTAGTAAACAAGGTATAGCGTATATTAATGTTTTACTTATTAATCAAATTATTTTAGTTGGTGAGCACAATGGATTTTTAGAATTAACTCGTTTTAATAATTTCTTTGTTAGATACTGTCTTGGCAGCCTGATTTGAAATTACACACTCTTCACGAACAGTATACATGCTTTCAATACTCTGGGAGGTATGGTTTATAGTATATCAAGTCATATATAACTTCTGTATTTGGAAATGGTATGAAATTATCTATCCTTTTAGGCTTTTTGGAATGCATATTTCATCTGAAAATACATGTTTTGCATCATTTTTGCTTAGAAGTGTGGATATATGGATTTTGTGCATGGAGAGTGTTTCCTAGACTCTAAATATTGGATGTAGCAGTTAAAACCCTGTCCATCTATATCCTAATTTTTTGAAAAAACAAACAAATTCCATAATTTTAAGCTTTTATTCTTTTTTCTTTTCTTAACATAATTCAATAGAGGAATAGATGCCCTGGTTATCCTAGTGACAAGCTCACTTTTACTGTTGGAGCTGGCATATCAATCTTTCTCTGGTCAAGTAAGAGGATTAGTTACCTTTCTTGGTAGTCAGTACTCAATCATAATAGATACACTATTCATAGATCAATTGATTTACTGTTGATTTTATTAGTTATGCAGCTAACTCTTCATGGCAGAAACGGTTATTTGTTGGAAAAATGTGTTTTATATATGTAACACAATTTTTAAGAATGGGTACTCCTAGTGTGAAAATAATATTGAGTCGGGACATTTCGAACTATGAGAGCTCATGATTCTGCTTCTGATGTTATCTAATATAGTCAATGGACTCTTGTAGCCAACTAACGGGCAGCTTCATTTTCTTTTCCCTTTAAATTATTATAACTAGACCATTTTCATCCTCCAAATCATCCTTCATTCCCATTGAGATCATTTTCAATATTATTTTTATATTTAGTTTGCATTTGCAAGTTCTTTTAAAAAGAAAACAGTGAAATTTAACTTGGGAAAATATGTATTATTTTCTTGAAATTGTCTCAGGAAAACAATGAAATTGATTTTTTAAGGACAATGTGTAGATTACTTTCCAAAATATTCTCAAAAAATTGGAACTTAGAAATTTGTTATTAATTAGGGAGATCTATTCCAGGTATGACTTCTTAACAGCTTGATGAATTTTGATCTTAATCACATTTTTAATTGAGGATATGCACACCCATTTTGATGCTTGCGCGCATATGCACAGACAAACACGTGTATACATCATCTTTTTAAATTATTCAAAGTGCTTTTAGAATAAAATATGCTCTCAATTGATGGCGTTATGGAATAGGTCCATTGGTTCAAATTTTTTTTCCTTAGTTGGTACTCACACACACATGCCTCCATTGAGGCTTGAACCCTTGATCTCCCTTTGGGAAGTAAGGGTCTTATACCACTAGGCCAGTATCCCGTTGGTTCATAGATATATTTGAACATTGTTTTCTTTATTAATGATGCAATGCTCACAAATAAATAGTAGGGATAATTTGATTTTTGACTAGTTTTCAAGCCTATATTACAAATAAAGCATATACGAAAAAGAATAGGTGTCCAAAGTCGCATAAGACAAATTAATTACGTATTTGACAACTTATAAACGGCTAATTTCGTATTTGACAAGCGCCTATACATTTGTGTCCAAATTACTCCTCACATTATACAAAATGACTTTCCCAAAACCATTTATGAACAGCCTCCACCACCACCACCACCTGCTGGCGAACCCTTCCTCTCCGGAGAGACATTCCGGCAAACCACCACCCGTCATGAATCACCACCACCCACTGGTGAACTCATCCTCTCCAGTGAGACATGAAACACAAACTGTCATTCATTTTTTTTGTTTTTTTTGAAGCTCATCCACAAATATATATTGATATTAAACTATGAATGCAATTGATTCATTGCCCTCTACTTTCAATCTGGCCACTTATGAATAAGTTCTTCATCCACTAAAATTCCTATTATATGAATAGCCATATTTCATTGGCTTCTTCTGAATTATTTATTTAAGATTTTAGTTATTTCATTAGCTTTCTGTGTTGATGTTGAATCTTTTGTTATTATGGTGCATTATTTTCATTAACTAAATCTGTTCAGATGAAGAATTTCTCAGGTCAATCCTTTACTGTCCTTACATATCTAATTCAAGTAGTTGTTGGTAAATATAGGTTAACAGAAGTTTACACAATAACTTTTCTTCTATCAATTGCAGCGTTGATGATGGATTCCCCAATGTCACTCTCCATTTTGAAAATTCACTTGTTTTGAAGGTTTATCCTCACGATTATCTATTCCCCTTCGTAAGTATCTTGCCTTATGCAAGTTGTGCTGGGATGGTTATTTTGTTCTTTAACTGCTTTACACTTTCAATACTGTGCTTTGATTATAACTCAACTATTGTATCCACGGGCTCAAATATCTTAATTCTTTTAATAACATAGATTGAAAGTTTTGGTGATACAAACTTTTTGTTAATAGAAGAAAGTTCTGGTTTAGTTTTTCACCTGAACTATTTGATGTGCTTAACAAATCTATGATTCAAGTGATATCTTGCAGCTACCAGAATATACATATATTCTTCATAGTAGGAAAATGGGAGTATAATAGTTCAGTTATTATGCGATTCCTTGTGCCGCATGACCATAAAGCCATATATTTGGAAAGCCTACCAATGAATGATGTGGTGCGGTATTAGAGTACGATTCTCACATGCTTGCTATTAAGAGAAAAAAAAGAACCTTTGTATGTATGTCAAAGTATATGTTCCTATTATATAGTATGATTGTCACACACTTCTTATTTATATAGACACACACATGTTTATAAAGATATATGCATGTGTGTTCAGATAAGTGTTGCTTTTCTTGTGTGTGTGTCTCTATTTATGTAATTATTCCAAATTCCAATATATTCCAGTAGGACATATGAAAAAAAATGTTATTTCTCTGTTACTTGTACAATTATATCAACCTCAACAAACCCCTTTTGAAAAAATAAAAATAAAAATGAAAAGTCCTCGAAAAACCCTTATCCCAGATAAATTAGAGTGGTTACATGAATCTTTTTTTCTTTTGATGAAGATGGCCATATATATATGTATATATTATATCAAATAATAGGTTTTTTTTTCTTCTGCCAGTGCTGCAGTGCACTCTTGTTAATATTTGCCTACTCTTTCCAGCAACTTCAACCTTGGTCTTGGCATTTCTTAGTAGAAGAAAATTTGGTTTATGTTTCACATGGCCAAACATCTTAGCCTTCTCTTATCTGTTCCCAATTTTGCGTTCCTACCTTTTCATGACAATATTTGTATCTCATCATGTTCTGCATCTGCTATCTTATAAAGTTCATTTACATCTGCGATGTTTACAGGATGGTTTATGGTGTATTGGTTGGCAAAACAGTGGGATGCAATCCAGGGACAGTAAGGACATGATCCTTTTGGGAGGTGTGCACCTAATAACTGTACATGTTTATGTCAATCTTGATTCTTGAGTGCTAAATTTCCTAAATAAAGTTTCCGTAAAAATTATTTTCGTAAATAACCTCGATTGAAGCTTCATTTACTTTCTTGCAAATCAGTTGGTGCCAGAGGCCCAGAGAATGCAACTCCACCGAGGACATTAAATTATGTGTTAGATATATGAATACCCTATCCCGTCCATCTGGAACTCTTGATTCAAACTTTTCGTTACTGGGTAAACGATGCCTCTTCTTTGCATTTATTACGGCTCTTTCTACACGAGTATCGTAATCGTAATTGGAATAATTTTATTACTCCAAAGAAACCCAGTTCCTCTTTTTCAAAAGCAAATCAAAGATTGGTCGTGTTCGTTTATGATTCTCATGTATGTGAATACGAATCCATTTTTTCTTTTTTCGTAACCAATCTTCTCACTTACGATCCACATCTTTTGGAGCACTTCTTTTATCTTTATGTCCGGAGCCTCGAAGGAAAGATCTTTCTTTGAAGAATTTTTTTCTATTTTTATAGTTGGAATTAATCAGTTGTACCTATACACTAATCCAAGGAGAGATGGCTGAGTTATTCATAGTATAGCATTGGAACTGCTATGTAGGCTTTTGTTTACCGAGGGTTCAAATCCCTCTCTTTCCGTACCTTCACCTAATTCACCTATGTTATTGAGGGCAATGTATCAAATAGGAATATATACCATTATTCCAACAGTTAGACCGTTCTTTGATATAGGTTCTCTATTCCTAATTGCGGTGGCACGGAAAAAATACTGGAAAGGGTAGTTAAGGAATGAAAATCCCCCTGGTGATCTATGATTGCATAAATGGGAGAAAAATAGAAATCCAGATCAAGCCCTTTTTTCTCTTAACCTTAGGTTAATTTACTTCTCCGAAAGGGAGCAAAATTGTCCAAACCCTTGTTCTTGTTATTTTAGTTAGGTTAAAGTTTTGACGGGAATAATGTTCTACTACTAGCAATTCATTTATTTTCATATATTGGATTTGAATCAGATTTCAGATCAATATTGATTGACTGCCTCCATTATGTTGTTGCTAGCAAATACCACTATTTTTGGTTTTGGATCTTCCAAATCATTCCTGCAGGAGATCCGGACCAAATTTTTTTTCTCTTCCTTCGATAAAAAGATTCATTCTCTTCATAAAAAATAGGAGGTAGAACCAATAAAGATTTCGTTTTCGATTCATCCTTGGAGTTGAATACCTCATTGAAGAATTGTTTTTGATCCAATCCACGGTTGAAATCTTACAAGATTTTCCAACTTTCCATTGCAAAAATAATTTGTGCTTGTGGATAATGTTTTATTCTTTCATGCTACCATACCGTATGCTTCTCACTTTGAGTTATTTTTCCAGTACTGCATATTTTCATTTTATGATAATTAAAGTACTTTATTGTGTCTATAAAGTTGAAAGAAATTTCTGAAGTTCCTTCTTCTTCTTCTTTTTTTTGGTTAGTTAACTGGTCGCACACGCCCAAAAGTGCCCACTATGGGGATCGAACCTCTCACCTCCCCACCAAAGACCTTTCGTTTTTTTTTTTTTTTTTTTTTTGTGGATACTGGGTGTGTTTGTGTTTGCTTTATGATTTAACTTCCTAAAAAAAAAAGGGGAAAAAAAAAATATCTCACCTCCCCTTTGAGGAAGGAGAGATTATACTAGCTTTACCAATAGCCCACTGGTGAATTTCTGAAGTTTAATTTCTGCTTTTCTGTTACTTCAACATGATCTACTAAATTTTTATTGCACAAGTGAATAAATATTCATATTGTCGATGCATCTATTGTTAATCAGCTTATATGAAGATGAATTTGGTGGAAGCTGAAAAGAAATGGAAGGCAGAAAAAGTACATGAATTAAAGCAACAGATTAAACCCAATGAAGTAATCCTTTTGCACAAGTGTTACTCTGATGATTTTTTGAATAATAAATTTGATTTTGGTATCCGTATGATAGTTCTCTTGAGGTGCGTGGTCCTAGGGGGGTGGGGGTTTGGACTTTCATTCGGAGGGGGTGGGATGATTTCTGCAAACATGTTCATTTTCGGATTAGAGATGGTAGGAGGATCAGATTTTGGGAGGATCTTTGGTGGGGAGTTTCTCCTTGCTCTCGCTTTCCCACGGCTCTATAGGATTGCTTCTCACAGACAGGCCATGGTGGTTGATTGTTATCACCTTGATAACGGAGACTGACTTGGGAGTTGGGATGTTCAATTTAGGAGACACTTTCAGGACTGGGAGATTGAGGAGGTTACTTTTTTTTTTGGAGGTTCTGTATCGCCAGGTGATCACAGTTGGGGATTCTGATTGTTGGCTTTGAGATCCCAACTCTCAGGGTCAGTTCGAGGTTAGGTCCTTTTTTATGTGCCTTTCGGTTGGTATCGGAGGCCCTTTCCCTTGGAAGTCAATTTGGCGTTCTAAGGCTCCCCTTAAGGTAGCCTTCTTTGCTTGGACTTCTGTCTTGGATAAGATTTTAACCCAGGATAATTTGAGGAGGAGGAATCAGGTGGTGGTCAATCGTTGTTATTTGTGCTTGCGTGATGAGGAGACAGTTGATCACCTTCTTTTACATTGCAGCATGGCTAGAGACTGTTGGGATTTGATGCTTGGGTTATTTGGGGTCCATTGGGTTATGCCTTGTTCCTCTAGAGGTTTGATTGAGGCTTGGAGAGGTTTCTCTGTTGGGGCTCTCATTCAGGATGCTTGGAGGGCTACGCCTCTTTGTATTTGGTGGTGCATTTGGCTGGAAAGAAATCGGAGATATTTCGATGGAAAGGAGAAGCCTATTTCTATGCTTAAGTTCTCTATTATTTCTACTCTTTTTTGTTGGGTCTCAGGGAGAGATTATAGATCTACGGAGGAGATCGTTGTTTTTTTGGCCTCTTTGAAGGTTTGAGGTGCCTTTTGGCCCTTGTGTTTCCTTGGGTTACGCTCCCCTTTTGAGCGTTTTCACTAAAATCGTACTTATCAAAAAACGTGCTGATCTGTGGCATGATAATATCTGATTTTGTATTTATGTGATGGTGAGTTTTTGAACTTTCACGTTCTTGTTTCTTCATACTGTTAAAACCATTCAAAAGATACAATCATTCTGAGATTTTGTGATGCATTGTTTTGTTATAGTAATCAATTTTTGACCTTTCATTCCAATGGCCAGCTGTAGTTTAGGCTGAAAGTATGATAAAGCTTAATGGATATGATCGATGATACTTTTTCCATGAGAACAGGTGTTTCTGGATTCTTCTAAATCCTAAAGTTTTATTATGTTTGCAGATCTAGTACTCTCAAATAAGCTAGTCTTGTATGATCTTGAGAATCAGGTTATTGGATGGACTGAGTATAACTGTGAGTATATTTTTCATTTATAAGTTTCCTTTCTTTTAATATCTTGTTTTGGTGTTTGTTTAGAATCAGCCATAAGCTAGTGTTAGTTAAGTAATACAACTTCTTCAATATTATTATTTGCTAAATTTTCACATTTCTAATAATCATTTAAGACATTTTTTTAGCTTTATTTTTGTCATTTATTTGCATGTTAAAGTTCGTATTGAGTTCTGAAATGATGGTGATGATTATAGAATGGATCTATGTGCTACTACTTGAAAGTGACAAATTTAATCACCAAACTACCACTTTTCCTGTTTCATGGTATCAAATTTTGCCTAGAACTCTTTGCTTTAAAACACCAAGCTGCACCGGTTGCCAAGGCATTATTGAGGTTGGGAGTGCTTTCGGTCGGATTTGATACTCCTTTGTAATCAAGTGAATAAACATTTAGAATGTTCTTGCTGCAAACTGTCCATGCTTATCGGTGATTTGGGTTTTTAGCTGGTTGCGGGGAAAGAACTTCACGGGTAACCTTTGTACATAAAAAAGAAATATTAAGTTGTGACACCAACCATGTACTAAGAATCAACGTCTAAACCTGAAAACCTGATCAGCGTCTTACAAATTTCATTCTTGTTTGAAAACTTGTGGATAAAAGATGATGCTATATGTATTTGAGCAGCTTTTGTGAAATGCTATATGGAGCATGTATATAATGATTGATTACTCTTGGATCACATTTTGATACCTGGTTGTGCGCATAAGAGGTAGATCAGGCCACTTATTATTCTTTCAAGGGTACATAGATTCTTCGGAATTTCCTCCTTAAATCAAAGCTGTGTTTTCCATTAGAGAAGTATGAATAGGCTTGATATGTCCTTGTATGACTAGCTAATAATTGATAGTTTATTCTGTAGGGCTTACAAGAAGAAAGCAGCATCAAAGAGAAGAGGAGAAGAAATAGAAAAAGGAATAATTTATATTTCTCATTTCTAAAAGCATTTTGTGCATAATAGATTCTGTCGCAAAAACCATCCTAAGTTGGAGAACCAAAATCTACTATGGCAATCTGCCACATAGCACAAAATTGACCTACCCCGCTATGCCTTATATGCAATTTGCCTACTCTTTTTGTATAAAGGAGTACAGATGGAGCCTGCAGTTAGCTTATCCCTGATCAGGGATTGTAAACTTCAATATGTTTGTTTTGGTGCTGGATTATCTTGTTGGGCAGTGACCTCATTTAAAAAAGTCTTTTAAACCACAGTGGCTCAGATAGTCTTTTTCTCGTGGCTCCATACCCCTACATCCGCAGTGAATTTATAACTGGTATTGGCCATTGCACTCTTTTTTTTGTTTTTCAATATATCTAAAACTCTCAGACCTTTTAATTAGCAGAGGATTCAGCTCGGTCTATATCAGTTTAAGCCTTTACCCTTAGATGACTATAGTTGGAAAAATAGTAGACCTCTTGTTGGATAAGATATAAAACATTTGAGATACTGGTTCTAGAAGCATGCACAACCTGTCTTGCAAAGCCCAGGGCATATTCTACATGTCGGTGTCTGAGTGAAAGATAAGTCTACCCAGTAGCCAATATCTTAAAAGATGTTCTTCATCAACATGAGGCTATGCCTCTTTAAGCATCTCATCAATGGTTTTCTTCAATGGTTGTATCTGGTTCTCTTGCTCCAAACTTTTTTCTATTATTCAGGAACCCATTATATATACTTTCTATGTGGAATATAAACTCACTTTTGTAATATTGTTACGTCTAGCCACAATAATGTCTAATGAAGCAAGGTCATAAATATTAAACTCCCTAATGAGAAATTATTTCAACTGCACCATCTCCTCGAGGTCACATGTCAGTAGGACAAAGATGTGTAATAATAAATTTAAACCCCATTATTTGAAAGACTCCTCAATTTATGCATAGCTCTGTACGCAGCTGGTCTACATCCCTATTATTCGAGTATGTATTAGAAGATGACTTACAAGATTATTTCTTTGCGGAGGATGGAATAAGTTCATTATCAGCCTACTATGGTATTTATTTGCTCAATACTCCATTAGTAATACAGAAAAAATATATGGATTTCCTTGAATTGGGCTTAGAAGGAAGAAGAGGAGCTAGTTTTTGTTGACTACTTGACCATGTGATAGGAAGTCAGGTATTAACCATATAGATTTGTCTTTGTGCAATTGTCAAAGAAACCAGAAACGGAGATTGTACGGTCATCCTGAAAAATTATGTGATTGGAAAGACAACTTTAATTATGCTTAGACATTCAGTTATATATATATATATAGGTGTCCTTTTCAATGTCATGCGAAGAAAAATTAGGTTTTTATCATGTTTAGGTGCAAGTGTTTACGTCATAATATCAGCAACATGATAGTCCATTACTGATTTTTTTTCTTTTTTTTTCATTGGCAAAAAACTCGCACACCCATTACATAGTCCATTACTGTTTTTTCCAATACCATTTCTGTTCGTTGTTCACGTAGTACATGTACATAGCATTTTTCTTGCATTCTTCCCTCTTTTTCTTTTAATGGAGGAATTTGAAAGTACCAGTTTCTGTATTACTGATTTGCTAATTTATAGTTGAAGTAGTTAAGCTTTTCTATAGTCTGGTTTCAGACAGATGGAGTGGTAGAATGATGTCTAAAATCATATCTGATATGTGTCAAAGTGATTGAATTTGTAAACAAATCATGGTCCATTTTTTTAAACTTCAGAGTGTTCCACTTTGGATCTGTTAAATTTGCAAGATGTATATACGTGACTTGGTGCTCGGGGTTTAAACTTCCAATATTTTGTAAACTGATGCTACTTTATAACGATTGAAGTTTAAACCTGTTTTGAATCTTTAAAATTTTAGGCATGGTTAAAGGAATGTAAATGTAAGAAATCCTTATATTTTGTCACAGGCAACATTTAGTTTTACTTTTGACTCGTTTATTGTTGATTTCAGGCTCTTCAAGTATTAAGTTGCAGGATGAACTGACTGGATCAGTACACTTAGTAGGTGCTCATTATCTGTCTTCTGCTTGCAGTCTCAGTATCCAGAGGGCTATAATCATCTTCTTGTTAATCGTTCTGCTGCAAAATTTAGTATAGCGAACCACCAGTAAGGTGTGACAAAGAGACAGAACTGCCGCAACTGATGGAAATTCTGGCGGCAAAAAAAAAAGAAAAGAAAAAGGAAAAAAAAAAAAAGAAAAAGAAAAAGTTGAACATAAGATATTCATACGGATGATATTGATGCATCTACTACTACTGTGGTATATGCATTGTTTACGCACAACACACACATTAGGCTAATGGAATTAAACTTGCAATTTGTATTTAAGTTTCTATTCCCATAGGAAATATTGAAGATGACAGGCATATCCGTAGGCCATTGTTATTGTTTGTAGTCTTACTAAATGGGTGATTAGGCCATTGTTCTTGTTTGTAGTCTTACTAAATGGGTGATGTATATGCTCATTGTATATATACTCAATTTTTGCCCTCATTAAATAACATAGAAACTGTCGCTCAATTTCTCAGTCTTAAAGGATATGCTTTAACTTGGCCTTTGGCATCTAGAGGTTGTACTATAGTTTCAACTTTGGATAGGAAGCCAGTAAGCCACATATGTAACTATCTTCCAGGTATGTTCTCCTTTTTTACTCATTTTTTCTGGTAATGATAATTCTTTTCCATCGTCTTTCAAATCTTTGCGAACATCATTATTGACGTAGTGTGATCGTTGCAATCTCACCCGGACACTTTAGAATTTGGGAATTCTGTGCATCTTTTAGATTCGCTTCTTCATCTGCCCCTCTGATGCTCTGATCTTCAAAAAAACCTCTGAAGTTGCGTGAATGTGTATATGCAGTATTTACAGAGTTTGCATCATCTTTAATTGAATGGTCTTCCTCAAGTTATTCTTTTCCTGTTATATATCTCATTGAAATGTATGTTTATATTAACATAACGTATGTCCATACAATTCAGTTACTTTTTAGGGTGCGAAAATTGGTCATCAGATTATATTTAAAGCCTTTCCAAACTTTTCTTATGCGCTGTGATAAATATACTCTGTTTACGTATGGTTAGGACTTGCAGTTTTCATAACAATTCTAAGAAGAGGCCTACTAAAAGTACACCATTAGCAGGTAAAAAAAAAGAAAAAAAAGACTATATATTGTAGGCATTTTCACATGAGTTCATATTCAGTCCTGAGCTTGATCGATTGGCCGTGCAAGTTCACAAAAGGAACCCTCGTCTAAGTCGTTAGTCCAGTTGGATATGCATGTAACACAAGAAGGGTTATTAGGACCATAATACATGTCAAACTTCATTGATTTGATCATTCATTGTAGCTACTTGTTTAGCGAATGACATTTTTATGATATTTACCTTTGATTGTTGATATTTGTATAGAGATTATAAGAAAATGAAGTGGGACTTATTTGGGTCTCACTTCAGTCAAAGTTGGGTCATTCATTGTAATTATTATTATTATTTATTCGGTTAAAGTTGGCAAGAAACTAACATACTCATTTGCCCTTTATAGATTCTATCTACTTTGGAGGACGGAGGAAATGCTACTATGCTACAACTCTTAATAGTGTCATTCATGGTTTTACTGTACATTGTTTATTGCAGGTTGGTTACACGTCAGCACGGTTTAGCCTAAGAAGTGTTGGTGAATTCCATTCATAATGGCCGTTTTGATCATTTGGAACAACTCGATGAATTTAGCAGATCTTTTTAGGAGACCCCAATCACCATAGATCGAAGCTATCCAATTTTTACGGTTGAGGACTTTGAGGCCATCTGATTTCAGTAATTTTTGTTTTTTTATTGGTGCAAAACGTATCATTTAACTAACAGGACACTGACAGCAGTATGGGTGTCCCAACTGGTGAAGTCATGGGTGTCAGTGCTCCAAGTACGGTCTCGCATGCATACATGTTAGGTGTTCTCAACACAAAATTATAATAGATGTTCATACTAGAATACATCTTATTCCACTACTAGAAAATTATACATGCATTATATATATATATATATAGTAATTGGAGGAGCTGATTGTAGTTATCACTCGCATTGGAAGAACCAAGTAGTGGGGTACATAAGATACTTCTTGTGAGAGTAATTGAAGGAAATTTTTTGCAGAGGGCCCAAAGGCAAGCCACCATTTACGACACAGTCGTCGTTACCCAGTACTTTGAACTGCCTAGGACTGACCAGAGCCTGAGAAAAGGCTCCACATTTTATGTGAAGGTCGATAAGTGGGCACATTGGACAGTTGTTCTCCACCTCCACCATGAACTTTGGAGGATTCCCAAACCCCACCTGCGTCTGCTTCACCGTCGGACTATTTGTGCTGCACTTTGCCCCACAACCTGCACATAAGATATGCAACCAGATTTAGGTGGTTTACACAAAACTAGAGTTACATGTTGAAATTTTACTATGATAGAAGAGCAAACAAAATATGAAAATTGACCAAGTGTTGAAAATACTAAAATGCCCTCATAAAAATTCTTACTATCAGATTCCACGCTACCTATATATCATTATCCTTCATTCTTGTTCTCTCTGTGTGTGTTTTGTGTGGGGGAAGACTTCTTACTTAGAAAGTATTATAGAACACCGATGAAGATGCTTTGTACTAATTTAGATGAAAACAGGCATAAGCAGTTCAGATAGACACAAGTAGGTGAAGAGAGAATTATATACTAACCAAAGTGGAGAGAGGCAAGTGTGAAAGAAGTCCAGAGGACAAGCTTAAAGGTGCGTTGGCTTTGCATTTTCATTTCCCCTAGAAGTTTTGATAGAAGACTTTAAATGCCTTCACTCACTGGTTATGCATGTTATATATATGGACCACGAGATAGGGGGATGTTTGGGGGCAGTATGGCATTGTGACTTGGTACATTTGTGGCTGTGGGAAGTGGCATTATCTGTGTGTGTGTGTGTGTGTGAGAGAGAGAGAGAGAGAGAGAGAGAGAGAGAGAGAGAGAGAGAGTGTGTGTGTGTGTGTGTGTGTGTGATGAGGATAAAATAAGATTAATCAGGTGCAGAAAAATTGTTGGCAGCCTTATTGATCTTTGGCCATGTGAGGGAGATTGTTTGGTAGGAAGCATGTACGTCTCCACCATCACCTACACTTTCTTTTGTTGCATGTGACTCTCTCTCAAAGTCACATGCTCTGCTTGCGCATCCGTGAAACCAACACAAATGCCGGGAAATTTATCAGACTGGTAACATGTGCTCTCACTTTTTCACTTATCCAAAAAAAAAAAAAAAAAAAAAAAATGTGCTCTCACTTTTAGTTTGATTGGTTTGTGGAAGAAAAGGGTGCAACTAGGGCTTTTGAACATTTTTGATTTGATGGGTCATCTTTCTACTAAATGATCAACCAAACTCCTAGTCACGCATGTTCATAATTTGAAACAATTTTTATTATTTGGATACTTGGCCAACTCATTTTGGAAATTTGCTCGACACACATTTGGTTAAGTCATTCTTGGCATTTGACCATTCGCATCTTACACTTGGCTTTAAAGAAAATAAACATATGACAATTTAAAACAGCATTGAGAACATTCATCAAAGTATTTAGAAAAAAAAATAAAAAATAAAAAATAAAATAAAATAGACATTAAACACGTCACATCATGTAATAAACAAAAATATAATTATAATAACAAGATAGAAGAGTAATATATTCTTTTTTATATTTGAATAGCTTCATCTTCTAATTTATATAACTTCTAATGTAGAAATTATAAAATTTTATAGTTGTCTTATATATTTTGTTACCCCCAGGCGACATTGTTTGCATTCTAGAGTAGTCGAATTTTAGACCTGATGTTTCATGAGGCACAAGAGTCAAGTGGCTCACTGTAACAAATGGGCGCTTGTCTATTTATTCAAAAGTTCAAGCTATTGGGTTGTGCTGCATTTATACCCAATTACTTTTCTATCCGGATCCTATGTGGGACAAATAACCCCTTATAACATTTTTTCATACCCAAACTCGCAACGCTCCCGTTGCTGTCGGGCCACCCTACCTATTCGGGGTGACTCACTCGGATGCCTTTTGGACTCGGCGCTTAGCGTGGCACCGGATCAAGGATTGAGTCTGACTCTGATACCAACTGTAATAAGTAGGTGCTTGTCTATTTACCTAAAAAGTTAAACTATTGGGTAGTATTGCATACTTATCCATTTATACCTAATCACTTTTTTCATATCCTATACCATACAAATGACCCCTTGTAATACTTACAATTTGGGTTAAATTTATATTATATTACTTGTGTCAACATTGTGACGTTGTCCTACTTTTTAGAATTTAATGTATCTGCATATTCATTAGCCACGACCCATATAGTCAAGTACATGGTTGAAATGGTGGGGCTGTTAAATGGGTCAGATGTTCAGCTTGGCCAAGATTGAAGCCCAAATTTGTAGCCTTCAACTAAACATGACCAATGTAAAAGCCTTTGCTAATGAGTTTATGACAAGGCAGACACAATTGCTTCTGGGTTGGTGGACGAAATGTTCTTCTTTTCCAATATTGAGGATCCTAATACACCACGTCCACATAAGTTGGCCCATGTAAAGTAACATGACAGTGGCCTTTCGGTTGTGCTACCACTTATTGTGTATGTGTCCGCTTCTCTTTTAGAATTTGATATTCGTATTGTATCGTGCCTATTTTGTACTTTTCAAAAACTGGTAGCCTTAGTTTTGCCGGTACTATGAGAGTGGAACTCAAGGTGATTGGAACTTCTTCAATTGTTTTTTTTTGCAAAATAGCTTGGAAGATCTTGTAATTGACACATGTTAAGTTGAAAATGAAATTATTTTTTTCTTTTCATTCTAAAGAAGAAACAATAGTCAAATTAAAAATTAAACATTGAGAATTCAAGTAGAATAAAATATTTTCAAGTGCTCATGAATCACTTATTTTCAAGTAGAATAAAACGTTTTCAAGTGTTCTTCCTAGTCTTCACTTCTCTTCCAAATATTGATTTGTCTGTGAGAGTTTCTAGCCCACTTATTAGTAATTTCCAACCTACATTTGTACAAAATATTTACTATTAGGCTCAACTCACTGTGTCAGCTCAGCCTTATCAAAATATATAAGTTGAGTTGTAAGTGGTTAATCACAATAAAGACTCTCTGTCTCTCTCCCTGACTTTCTTTTTTTTTTTTTTTACCCAAATTTTTAAAAAATTATTTTTTAAAATATTTTGGAAAATTCAGAAATTTACTTTAGTTTCTCCTACCAAAATACACAATATCACCAAATTGATGATATAGATTTGAGCCAAAATATCTCATATGTTATAAACTATTTCAAACCAATATCAATCGTTGCAAACACGATATGAGCCCACGTTTGAAGACAAATATATATATATATATAAAACAATATAATAACACATTTCAAACGGGCCTAAACCAAATTTTTCTCGATAATATATCAATCGTGATCCAATTGAGTTGACTACCATGGGCCTCAGTTGACTGGGCCACTTGCCTCTTTTGTATGTTTTGGTTCAAACAACACTTGTTTCTGCTGGGCTTAATTGCCTTACTCAAGTCAGCTTTGACACACCAAGGCCCATTTATAATTATTTACTTTTCATATATATATCTATATATATATATATATATATATATATATTGTTTTTTTGCTTTGTTTTTTTTTGGATGATTTAGCAAACTCAAATACGCATAACACCACTAAGATTCGAATTCTGGCCTCTCATTTGATATATTTTGCTTAACTAGTCGAACTTAAGGCAGTACTCTTAAAACGATCTCTTTTAAACACAAGATACACTTTTAACAAGATCTTCCCATGGTTAAGAACTTAAGATGCCATGACTACTATTTCATATTGGACCACCCACTCGCAGTCTACATTATAGGGTACACATTCGAAAAGTTAAAGCTAAGGAGTCTATTCCCCACTTGACATCAAGAAAAGACATCATTCAAAAATTAATTATGCAAGAATTTCTTTTAAAACATTTCAAAAGATACATTTAAATTCGATACCTCGAACTTGCATTGATGATGCACAAATACAATAAGCCCAAATGGATGGTCACCATCTTTTCAACTTAATTAAAGTTTAAAACTCTAATGCTATGATTGGGAGAGTGATTTGATGCCTTAGATATAAAATTGGAGAGAAGTTTAGTTCAATTTAATTTAAATTTTATATTAATTTTTTTTAATTATAAATTCAAAGCATTGATTCGGTACCGCCAAACATAATATTAGTCTAATTTCAAGTTCAACCCAACTTTTAATTTTTTTTCTTAATTGTGGTTACGTTTGAGTTATATTTTTGTTACTTGCATTTAATTTAATTAGGTTAAGGTTAACCTAAATTGGGATTCTTTTTTTTTTTAATCTGTATTGAGTTATACAAGTACTAATTTTGTACTATCACTTGTGGTATCGAGCAGATGGCAACATATGTCAACGGGTGTGATGTGAGCAGGTAGCTCACATTTCCTTGAGCAAGATGAATGTGAAATGCTATGTACTAGTTCTATTTCCTCTGTTTCAAAAAGAATGTCTTTCTTAAGGAACCATAACTTACAAAAAGAATGTCTCATTTAGAGAATTGTGAGTCATAGTTTCCCAAATGAGACATTTATTTTGGAATTGAGGAAGTACTATAAAAGGCGGAGCCAGTGTACGCTGAGGGACTTGTCCCTGGCTTGGCCCCCTGGCGGCGAAATTATTATTTTCTAAATTAATTTTTTAGTTTTTCTTCATTTAGTCTTTAAATTCCTTAAAAAAAGGTTAATTTTTTCTTGTTAAATTAAATTATAATTTTTTTTTTCCCTTTTTAAGCTATCATTTTCTTACTTTTTCTTTTCCTTTTTCTTATTTTTTCCCCTTCTACTCCTTTAGATAATTTTTTTTTTCTTAACATTGTGCCCCTCCTAAACTTAAATCCGGGCTCCACCCTACTACTATATGTAAATGGTATGAGGTCCTAAAGCACAAGAATATAAATTGTATCGTACCATGTGATTTAGTGGATCATTACAAATAATATCATAACCGGAGCCTAGCTAGCCAGTTTACGAAGCTGCCATAACTAGAGAGAAATAGGAAATCTAAGAATTTGCCCTAGCAATATTATTTTATTTTTTAAAAATAAAATACTCGAGATATTTGCGAGAAAATTTTCAGAATTATTTAGTTGCATATAGAGCATACATATAAAAAATTTAGCCCCAATAGAGACTAATTTCATGAGATATCATATTGTGCGTTAAGTATTTACATTTTTTTTTATAAACTCACCATTTAAAAAAAATAAAAATCAAATTGAATAATCGGTTCCTGTTGGGGCTAATTTTTGTTTTTTATATGTTATGCTCTATATGTAAATCAATAATTTTGAATTTGTTTTTGCAAATATTCTGAGTTTTTTATTTTCTAAAAATAAAATAAGATTGTTGGAGCATATTCTTAGATGGCCTAATTGTCTCTAGTTATGGTGACATGTTGCACAAATATTATATTTCTGCAATCTTTGTTTCATGAACTTTTCCGCATATGATTTATGAGATATGAATTTTTGAAGTTTTGATAAATTATAAGATTCAAATAAAACAGTAATAAGGGCATTTTAGTTTAAATATTTATTTTTTAACTCCTTATATAGTTGGAGGGATTTATTTGTAAAAAATTAGATAAAGAAATTTACTAAAAAAAGAGGTGTTTATTGTGGTTTGACCTAAATTATATGGTGATGTGGTTTCAACAAACTAGAAACTGTTTCTAGAAAGCAATATTTCAAACACATTGTAGAAACTAATAAATATGTCTCTGACATTATTTTAGTACTCTTGGTGTTGAATTGTTGATGCAAAACATAACATTTATGATACTAAATAAAAAAATAGGAAAAAATTCATATCCTTACAAAGTGGCAACTTTTGACCAAATAATAAAAGAGCATATAGGGTCACTTTCTTTTCATATGACCACAGTGGCCGCACACATGGTTTCAATATTGAATACTGACAACTCACTCTTGCCCTACTTAGAGTGGACTGAAAGTTGACAACGAATAATAAATCCAAC